TAAGCTCAAAAAATGACCACTTTCAGTTATGGCCGGAGCTCAAAGGAAAAAGAAAGAGAGACTAAGAAATGTTGCAAAAAAAAAAAAAGCTAAAAAGAAGGAAATGACAACTCACCCTTGTAGACCAATCTTTGGTTGCTTCTTGGACCAAGTTGCAGCACCTTTAGCCTCTGAGAAACCCTCCTTGCTGCTGGAAATGGAGTGGTGGTGATGGTGTTAGGTGGTAGTGAAGAAAAGGGGATGAAACTTGGGTACCATCTTCAGCAAACTTCCTCTTTTTGTTATATGGTTTGGTTACTTGTTCAACCACATTAGCCTTCGACTCAATGGAATTTTTACCATTCCTCTTTTCAGTCTTACGGTTATCTTCCTTAATTCTTAGACTTACAATCAATTCATCCATTGTCATCTCTTTGCGTTTACGTTTTGAATAGTTTTTGAAATCTTTCCAAGCCGGTGGTAATTTTTCCACTAACGCAATGATTTGGAAAGACTAACTAAGAGACATACCTTCAACATGAATATCATGCAAAATTAATTAAAAACTTTGAACTTGAGAAATTACCATTTAGGAGTCTACCATAACAAAGTCCAGAAATTTACCAACAACAAATTTCGTTGTCCTGACATCCTCTATCTTGTATTTTTTCTCCAAAGAATCCCACAATTCTTGTGTTGTTTTCAAAGGGCTGTAAACATTATACAGCTTGTTGTCTATGCCATTGAGGATGTAGTTTATATACAGAAAATCAGAATGCTTCCAGGCATCTACAACAGCAATAACTTTCCGATCACTTTCATCATCCTTAAGCACTGGTGCCTCTTCACAGAGAAACCAGGCAAGATTCGAGTTTGTAAGATAGAATAACATTTTCTACTGCCATCTCTTAAACTCGGTGCCATTAAATTTGTTCTATTTTTCTCCATAATTTATTGGAACTTGAACATGGTTCTCGATAGGGAACAGAGTCGTTGTAATAATTGGAGTACCACTTTCAGTTGCAGTAGCCATAATATCTTATTACAAAAATTAGGAAAAACCAAAATACAAATTAATTTTCTAGTTACTAAAACCAAAAAATAAATTATAGCACAAAATAATTTTACTTTTCTAGTTACTAAAACCA